CCTGAGACACAGGCACGTAGATGGGTCGAACTTGTGGTACCGGAGAGCTGAAGAGGGAGGCCAGCCGCCCCGTGCTGGCTCCAGGAGGGCGCCGGCCGCACAGCAAGCTCTTGGCGACCTGTCCTATCAGGTAGTCTCCAGCCGAGTCCGGGCCGGGGACACAGTACGGGTCCTCCCCCCTCTCCGCACTTCTCTTCCGCTTGTTCTCCCCTTTCAAAGCCATTCTTACTCCAAGGTTTCTCCCCCCGCCCGCTACAGCACCGGGGAAAGGCACTTCCGGGGTCCAAGTACTTCCGCTCTCTAGCCACGCCTCTTGCGCGAAGGACCACGGTCCTTACCTCCAGCCGACCGCGGCGGCGCCGGAAAAAGGTTCTTCTGTTCCTGACCTCTAGCTCTCCTGCCTGGAAAGCCTGATCTCGGGAGTGATAGACTTTCCCAGAGAAGGTGAGGCCTGAAGTAAGAATCAGCCAGACTGGGAGTGAGATGTGTGAGATGTCAGCAGAGGGAAGAGCATGTAGGAAAAACACCCCGGGGTCGTCGAGGGAGGATTGAGGAATGAAGGTACTCCAGTGTGTGACTGACCAGTCGGACAGTCAGCGCGAAGCAAGGCTGTACTTCCTTAGCTCTTCCGAGATTTGACATTTCAAAATAAGTTATAACGGGAGGGGGGCCAGGGAGGTAGCTTAGAGGCGCAGCGCCTCCCTGGAAAGCCCAAGGCCTTCAGTTCCATTCCTGGCACTCCCCGACCCCAAAATTAAAAACTATAGTTGGAGACCACAGCTCTAACTGGTCCCATCCATGTACTGCTTAGCATTTTATTGCTGACCACCTCTTCTACCAGAAGTACATGCTTGGCTCTCAAAACCCTTAGGGCTGTTCTTTCCGGCCTACCGTGCCAAACTCTTCACCCTCAAAACACATGGATCCTTAGCTACTTTTTTTTCTGCCCGTTCTTGTCATTTCTGACTTTAGAGCCCTCAGCTTCCCTCTGAAAAAAAGTTGTACCCGTCCTTGAAATTACACCTCATTGTCACTGATCAGTGTTACTATTAGCACAGGGATATAAATCCTTCCCCACCATACTTAGAATAACCATGTTTTGCATGTTAGTCTCTTTAAATGTGAGGGAAATGACAGGTCAGTTGCCTTACACATATGCTGCATCCTTGTTCACTGTACCTACTCAGTATCTGCTACACTGATTTTTAAGAAATAAAACAGGTACTAGATATACCACTAAATTCAGTAGTTTGGGTAGTAAAATACTTTTTTGATTTTGAATCTGTTGAAAACACTCTTGCTTTTGAAAGCTGCTTACCACAAGTTCACTTGGAATATATGTGAACTTTTGTTGCCCCATCTATTTTACTGAGAAAAACAAAAAACCCCAGAATATTCAACTATTCTGCCCTGACTTTAAGCATCTAATTTTGGTGGCCTCTTGATGGCCTGATATTTCAAAGATGGAAAAATCCATCATGTATGCATGAGATGAAATTTAAGTATCTGTCATATCCAGTCCAGTGAGAAAATCTTCTGTATTCCTCAGATTGTCCCTTAACCCCATTCTCTCCCCCAAACATTCCAAGAATTGCCTTGTATCTGGAACACTGCAACCTTATGCTATCTGGTCTTTTGGACTTGACCCTCTGTTCTAGCCTGTGTTCTAGGGTCAGGTAAGTGCCTTTAAACTGTAATTTGAAGGCTTCATGTCACCTGTCAGCAGAAGCACTATGTGCCTATGTACTATCTTCTATAAACTCTTACACACTGGTCTACACAATCTTAAGTGTTAAATTTCATGATTGTGTAGACCAGTGTGTACTTAATTTCATATTGAAATATATATATATATATATATAAAATCTCCATTATGTTCTGTCCCATTAGTCCAATCCCAAAATAATGGTTAACCATTATTCACTAGAAGGTGAGAAAATGTATCCAAAGGGAATGGAAGCATATACTTATAACTGAAAAATTAGCACTAGAGTCTGTGATGAGGATGTTTTAAGATTATCATCACTGCCATTCAGAACTTTTTTTAAACCATTAAGCAGTCACTAACCCCTTTGAGGATTACTTACGATATAAGGATTCTTCATAGAAAAATACAGAAAAAAGTGAAGGGTTTCATAGGTTCTGCTCCACTATATCATAATGTCCCAGGTCAATAAAATTAACAAGGCCAGGATCCACACTAAGATTATTTCAGTAGGAATCTATGTTTTGGAAAAAAATATACTACCTTAATTTTAGCATACAAAGTAAACTAAATAAAATGCACTCTGGGTGACCAGGGGTAGATTAGGTCAAATTCTGATGATGTAACTCTCAAACCCATTAGAGAAGATGGGAAGAAGGGCCATAAGGAGTATAACTCTCCCAATAGAATTTGGAATCATTCCTCTACATGGCATTCTTGTAACACACCCCTAGATGACACTTAAGATTTTGTGATGAAGTGACAACAGGGCAAAGGAAACTTTTTACCCAAATGTCCCTCCACAAACCTCCAGAATTATTAATATACTAACCCTATGCTAAAAATTCTAAGAAGGTAATATGCTATATAGAGAATTTCAAAAGTGTACTTCACAATATACTTCCAGAGCATTTCTAGGGAAAAGTATTCTAGGAACTCATTTTGAGAAGCACTAGTCTACAGATTTAAAGGATAACTGGCCAGCCATCATAGTGCAGCCACTTAGAAGGCTGAGGCAGGAGGATTGCAGAGTTCAGGGTCAGCATGAAGCACACAGCAACACTCCCCACCAGAAAAAACACACCCAAAAATAAACACTAAACAAAAAGTTAAACTCATTTCCATTAAAATAAAGCGCCTTCTTATAGATGCTTTAAAAAGAGGTATTTTCTCGCTTTTTCTTTTGAAATGAGGTCTTGCTATTGTTGCCCAGTTTGAGCTCTAATTTTCAGTCCTCCTGCCTCAGCATCACAAGTGGAATTAGAAGCATTTGTCACCACACCTGGTGGTAGTTTTTGGTTTTTTTTTTGAGAAAGGGTCTTAATGTGCAGTCCAGGCTGAACTTGAACTCACCATGTAGCCCAGGCTACCCTCAAACTCACAACAATCCTCTTGCCTCAGCCTCCTAAATGCTGGGATTATAGGCATGTTCCATCAGGCCTTGTTATTCTTTCATTGTTTAATAAAAGGGAATTTCTTATGCTAGAAAATTCACTAAGTGAGCCAAATCAGTAGATCTCAACTTAGATACATACTAAAATCAATGGAGAATTTTGAAAAGATCATAACCACTCAGGTACCACCACAGACCAATTAAATACAGCTGTGGGGGTGGGGGTGGGGCTGGTGTTTAAGAACGATCATTACCATGCCCAGCTGATTCCAAATGTAACTGGAGTAAGGCACACCCAAGTGTAAGGGAGAAACATAGCTGCTGGTTATGGATTCAAGTGTTCCAGAAAACCATTATTTTGGTAATACTAGGGACTGACCACAAGGTGTTTCCACTATTTCCCCAGCTTTGTACTATTTTATTTTGAGACACAGTCTCACTAAGTCACTAAATTGTCTAGTCACTTGAACCTGTGATCCTCCTGCCTCAGCTTTTTATTTTTCTTTTTGGACAAGTCTCCAGATCATAAGAAAAATATTTACTAAATTCAGACTCAAGCAAAATATTGTAGTGAAGATACAAGAAGGTCTAAAAAACTTTTTAAACTTTTTAATGGATATTTTTTCCCCTCTTGATTCTAGGGATTGAACCCAAGGTCTTATGCATAGTGTGTGCTTCACCACTAACCTATACTTCAATATCCAGTTAATGGGCTTCTCATTTTTAATGGCAGAATATTCCCTATTTCTGATGTCAGTTAACCCCCTGTGATAATTTATATTGGCTATATGTTCTAGTCAGTCATTACATGGAGAAATGAACTAAAATTACTTAATCTTTGAGAAACAAAATCAAGGATTCACAAACTATGGCATTTATTTCAGAGCCTTTGCTTACATTTGTACAATATATTACATAATTCTTCATTGTTTGCAGATCCTAATATATACTTTATAGCTTTTATTCTATAAGCTTCTTCAACATTTTGCTGTCAACAAATCTTTACAGTCCTGTACAAATTTGAGTAACTTGAAACCGTTTTCAACAAAATTAGTTACTGTAAGCACACACTACAAGACTGAAAATGCTTTTCTTAGAAAAGTTGAATGTAAAGGATTAAAGTTTCTGACACGTTAGCATCTACAACAAAACGCTTCAAAATTCTCACGTCGTATTGCCAGAAAACAAATAAAACATGCCAGCCCCATTCAAAAAAAAGTACACAGAACTACAATTAAAACAGTAAAACAGTCTGTACAGTAAAGTACTGTGTATTAACAGTGCCAGATATTAAATAGCTTCAATGAACACATCCGCAATATACAAATGTCTTACAAAGGTGAAGAATTAAATACAAGTGCCAAACAGAACAGAGATTGGAATCATGTAACATAAAGTCAATACAAGTGAAAACAATTTTGCGTTCATTTTGGATTTTACACAAGGCATGTAATTATAGGCCTACCACCCCAATTAGCTATTTATACTTAAAATAACCATCTTTCTGAGACAGTTCATATAAACAATCTTGAACCATACTAACACTTTGTTCCTGAAGTCCTTTTGTTGTAGCTCATAATAAAATAAGCAATACAAATGAATTATCTGTATTTAAGGGAAAAGAAACATTTACAAGAAAACACAAAAATATAACTGTTATAATTCATTATGAATAAATATACACTTTGAACTGGCTAGGTACAATCTATACATTGTTTAAGATTTAATACAGTTTATTAGCCATTTTCTTTTTTCACACAATGTATATCAAAATTAAAAAAAAATACTGATTTATAGAAAAATGGCAAAGTACAGTAGTTCCATTCCAATTTGAAGGGGCATGAAAAGCCACTGCAAGACCTTTTTAGCCTAACTCAAACTGTAAACATGTTCAGTCTTTTTTAAAGAGAATCTTTAACATTTGGTTACCAGGATTGATGTCTGATAGCCTGTTAACTGCAGATTTTGAATTTATTACATGTGCTTGACTTATACAATTAAAGCCACCCTAAGATGACTTGTGTTAAAAAACAATTACCTTGTACAAATGAAAATAGGTTCATATTTTTCATAAATAAATGGAAAAATATCAAATGTTCCAGCTTTTAACAAAATACAAGGGAATACATATACAGTAAGTTATCTTACCATGTTCTGGTCCACCCCTAACTATGCTTACTGTATTGTCTCTACAGGCAGTGAAAAGCCCCCATTTGCCACAGTGGAAGGCCTTCAAGTTACCAGACACAATTCCCAGACAAGTTGGAAACAATTATTGCTTGAGGAAAAGCAGTTCATTGTACTTTTTCTTCATAAAAAAGTGCACTTAAGTGCCAAGTCAGCTTGTCAAGAAACAATTTTTAAATATAAAATAGTGCTTGTCTGATTTTTTTTGTGCCACTGTGCAGTATAAAAAAAGACGTGGCCTTCAATAGCCATTAAGTGCAAAGTGCTTTAGCAAGTCCTGCTGTCACCTGCACTCAACTGACATTCCATTTTGTGATGCACTGGACATTGATGGTTCAGCTAACGTTAACATAACAGCAGCTGTTATAGAACTGGATGAAGGTGAAGAGGAGGAGGAGGATGTAGCAGCACCTAAAGAAAAGGGAGACCATACCAAGAGCTTAATATAGTGTATCTAACAATGGAAAGAAACTAAAATTCTGTTGTATTCTCCAAAATGGTTTAACCTACAAGAACAGTCAATTTTCTCTGTACCACAGTGTAAAGAAAGAAAACTTAGTTGTCTTTCAAGCAACTAGATGGTCCTCAAGCAGGGGAAAAATAATGAGAAAGGATGGGCCAAGGATGGCTCCTGTATGGATCAAAGAGAGGAAGAAATTGTGGGTCCAATCAGTAAGCAAGGAAATAAAACGTAGAATATACTTTCTGCAACAAATGACAAAAGAGCTTTGAATCAAATAGGAAAAGCCTGGAATCTACCCCAAAATTATTTTCTTCCCTTCTAATTCCTCCATCTTTCTGCATTTGGAATTTGCTCATACATTTAAATGGTTATAAGAATAGGAGGCTAACTAGGCATGGTGGTGCATGCCTGTACTCATAGCTGCATGAAAGGCTGAGACAGCAGGATCTAGAGTTCAAAGTCAGCACTGGCAACTTAACGAGAGCCTATCTCATACATATACTACATACACACATACATACGTATATAAAATGGCAGGGATGCATATAGCTCAGTGCTTTATGGATTGAGTCCCTAGAACTGCTTTAAAAAAAAAAAAAAAAAGTGGGGGGAATCTCCATTGTTAAAAAAACTGCATCCTCTTCCAATTGGTTTACAAAGGAAATAATATTTTCCTCAGAAAAGTTCTCTCATAGTCATAAATTAGTATTTGAAAAGAAGTATTTTTAAAGGGATCATATACCCATTTGTTCACAAGGGAGGAATTTGGAAATGGAAATCTTGTCTAGAACCCTTCTAATCCTCCAAATTTTTTGTCCCATATTACCAGTTGCTTCAGATACTTTAAAACTCTAGAAGAAATATGGAAAGTTATTATCCCATGGGCACATTTTTGTAAAGAAAACTATCAGAATATAGCCATACCCATTTATTTATGCATCATGAGTGTTCAGTCAATAGAGCTATGTAGTTTCTACAGAGACTTAGTGACCCTCACATTTACTGTCTCTCTACAGAAAAATATCT